AATTGGAGGTTGCGTTTCTTTTGTGTGTCAGTATATAATGTCGATAAATATGAAATTATATGGGATTGAAACTCGGTCAATATCACTGTCTCAGTGTCATAATATAAGACCCTCCCGAGGGTGACATTTTCCTATCCTACACCCTTGAGCATGGAAGAGTATTTTTCTCTACCATAATAAGCTCAGAAACCATGAAAATGCGTTTCGACTTGCTACCAATTTGAAAATATCAACTTTTCTCCGGAGCTTTTTTGACGAAAACGAAAATGTTAGATCTGTCAGCGAGATTTAGCATACCATATATTTACAAACAAAGTTTGCACAGAGAAAAAAATATCTTATCTTTCTTCTGTACGTGTACTGTGAATATATTTTAAAATGTTTTGATTTCATTACGCCGCCTTTTCCGCATTGTGGCATTGGAACGTGAAATGAGGTGCAAGATTAATAGAATCTCTCATCCCCTTGGAATTGATATAGGGGAATCTAAGCCCGAGGGGGGAGATTCTTAAGTTGCCAAACACGAGGCTTTGCCCTAGGGTGAGATTGATAGAATCCATCCCTGATGAGAGGTATGTATAAGGTTATTCAAATTAAAAAATTAAATTAAACAATTGTTCTATAATAAAAATGTAAATATATGGATTGAACAATTGCTAATGACGTCAATGACCCTGACTGACCCAAAAGCGTCATAAAATAACGTCGCCAACAATAGCGTGACCCCGAAAGGTCACAATAATTCCCCCGCCATTCTGCGCGTGTAAACGATCTAGAACTGTGGATATCTCTCACCGGTAAAAGTGTGGATACACCTGCCCAGGGTAAGAGAAAAGGATATCTCTCACCTGTAATGGTGTGGATACACCTGCCCAGGGTAAGAGAAAAAGGATATCTCTCACCGGTAATAGTGTGGATACACCTGCCCAGGGAAAGAGAAAAGGATATCTCTCACCGGTAATGATGTGGATACACCTGTCCAGGGGAAGAGAAAAGGATATCTCTCACCGGTAATGGTGTGGATACACCTGCCCAGAGTAAGAGAAAAGGATATCTCTCACCGGTAATGGTGTGGATACACCTGCCCAGAGTAAGAGAAAAGGATATCTCTCACCGGTAATGATGTGGATACACCTGTCCAGGGTAAGAGAAAAGGATATCTCTCACCGGTAATGGTGTAGATACACCTGCCCAGGGTAAGAGAAAAGGATATCTCTCACCGGTAATGATGTGGATACACCTGTCCAGGGGAAGAGAAAAGGATATCTCTCACCGGAAATAGTGTGGATACACCTGCCCAGGGGAAGAGGAAAGGATATCTCGCACTGGTAATGGTGTGGATACACCTGCCCAGGGTAAGAGAAAATGATATTTCTCACCGGTAATGGTGAGGATACACCTACCCAGGGAAAGAGAAAAGGATATCTCTCACCGGTAATGATGTGGATACGCCTGTCCAGGGTAAGAGAAAAGGATATCTCTCACCGGAAATAGTGTGGATACACCTGCCCAGGGTAAGAGAAAAGGATATCTCTCGACGGTAATAGTGTGGATACACCTGCCCAAGGTAAGAGAATGAAGTGTTGAACTTACACAGTTTGAGTTCAGTACATGTATGATAAATAAAACAAGAGAATACAACGGTGATTGTTATTATCACACGGCAATAATGCGGACAGTTTACATACATATTTATGAAAAATATATCAGTAAATGTCACGTATTGGGCCGTGTATAAACAATTACATTCCGTCAGGTTATTCAAACAGTTGATCAGTACATCACGAAGAGTGTAATCAATACATCATTTATTGGTATTGACCATGATTCTGATTTAATTATCGGCCTTTCATTATTATTAATATTTAGGTATTCACATATGCGTAGAGAGCATGACGCGGCTTGTTCTCGTTTCCCCCACTTTTTAAAATAACACGGGGGGAATAATGTTGTTAGAAGGATTATAGTCTGTTTCTAAGTAGTATGGGCAGTATTTACCTGTGTTTTTACCTGTGTTTACCTGTGTTGTTACCTGTAGTTAACTCTTCTATCTAAGGTGGTGTTTTATCATATTTAATTAAACAACACATTATATAAGTTTTTTCAGATTTGTAATGATAAATGTTAAAATAATTTAAATATTAATCATATATATAAATATATATTCAGTATTAAATATATCCATTTTGTAGTCCTTGTACATGTGCTGCTGATAAGATGATAAGATGAAATGTGTTATTTCATTTTCTTGTACTTTAAAAATATTAATATAACTAATTATTAAATAATCTTTATTATTGTAACATTTAATAAGATGCCTACATTACCTTGTACAAAATGTAAGAATGTAATGTGTGACTAAGAATGTGGTGTTTAACAGCTAATTAATCAGTTAATTAATCAAAATTCCTAGATGTTATAAGTATCTTATAACTATCATAAAAATCATTGAACATCTATAATTATCCAAGCTATCATTTCCATCCATGTGAGCTAAAAGTGATCACGGCCTATGCTAATTCAATTCAATTCAATTTATTACCAAATGCACATTGCATATAGGCGTACAGAAATATACATATAGATAAATACTTTACAAATATCTTGTACAATGGCCGAGAACATATGCAATAGATTCAATTCCATACATAATATTTATGAATTATGAAATTGTCATCAGTTTGGGAAAACTTTAACGTTTTCCTATGGTAACTTAGCGGACTCTTATGAAGCATAATTTAGTTGCATGATTTAGTTGTTTATGAAATAATACAAATAAAGCCTTAATCAAACCAAATTTCTAGGAAATAACAAAACTTCAAAGTCAATCATACAACCTCAACATGAAGGTAGAACGAGAACTATATATTATATAATGAAATGAGATTATAACTCATTGTGAAGTAAAAGACATAGATCTCATTCGCATTATACAGTAACAAAACGTTTATAGCAAGACTTTGATACAGCTTATATTTCATAATATACGATTTCTCTTAACAGTTACCTGAATCAAGTACTTACTTAAATTTCTCATAAGTTTAACATTTTTGCTAGACAGATCCGAAGCTCTTTTAATTTAAACACAGAAGGATGAATACAATAACATGGCTTGATATACGATACTCTTAATTCTAAAAACACAGGACACAAGAATGAAATGAAACTTATCCTCGACATCTCCAAGATCACATAAAGTACACAAATCTCTGGTTTCGAGGCACTGTATTATATCTACCTGTCTCTATATTAAGGTTATGTGGTGCTTGCAATCTATACTTCGCAAGAATACATTTATTTTTTCTAAATAGCGGTTTTGTAAAATACCATTGTAGATCAAAACGGTCAACAATGTGTTTACACAACAAACATTTTGAAGATGTCTCGAATATGTTTCTCATTTCCTGAATAAAACTATCCTTTATGCGTTGTATATATAATAATAAAAAAGATTTCTCATTTGGTACACATTGTGCCAACCACACATCTCCAAAACCCAACGTACACACATCACGTCTCAGATGATAAACCCAATTTGCCTTACAATTTGGTTTCCTGTTATAAAGCTCTAGAAGTTCATCGTAACAGGCCCTCAAAATACAGTTTTTAGTCTTTAATATTTGCAGACAGTACTTTACAATAGCAATCCTACGCTGTATATGCAAAGCGTAAAGACCAAGTTCAAAATACACCATGACATTATTTACTGTTTTCCTGACACCCAATACGGTTTTCAAAAATAATAAATGTAAATTTTTAATCTGCGGTGCAGGACTATAACCCCATACTTCACACCCGTAATTCACAATACATGATATATAAGTATCAAAGAAAGATAACATCTCTTACATTTGGGATAGATAACAACATCTGCCTCTTGGCTGTTGGACATGAACTTTAAATTGAAGATATGATATACATTTGAGGGGGGTCAATTTGAGATTGCTATTACTAAACTTTACTATTCTTAATATGTGAATATTGGTAATGTATTTTAAAATTGTAATATATTGTGAACTCTTATGTAGTGCTGTTATATTCTATATTATCTGTTTAAAAGTGTAATGTAAATATTTGACTGTAAACTCTACATATGTATAAGTATAAAATTATATCGATTACATAAAAAGATATTTGAACCTCAAAAAAGTATTAAAACCTTATTTTTACCCAACAAAGCTACAAGTCACACAGGTAACTTTCACACAGATAAGTTACCTGTGGGGTAAGTATGAAACAGACTATAATTGGTTTGCCATTGTCTTCCTAAATCAACATTTTCCTTTGTTATATAAAAAGTGGGGGAAACGAGAACACCCCCATGACGCATGTAACTCTACAAGCGATCTAATTAAGGGCTAATTCCTTTCGTTGATACATAGAACCTATATAATTGCTTGTTTCCAGATTGACGTGTATTTATTCTTTGTGAACAAAATAATAATTCAGATTTAATTACCTTATGTTGAATACTGTGTATCTTTCATTAAAATTGTAGAATACCAATATTTAAAGAATGTGAAGCAAAAGTGAAACAATCAGTTAATTCTGCCATGCGAGCAAACTGTATATGGTATTCAACCTAAAATGTGTTGCTGTTGTAACTATTACGTTTGTAAAGAACTTTCAGCGGCGAAAATGTTACGGTATCACAGCCGTGGAGAAATTTACAAGGTTTAGCACGTTATGTTAATGATGTCACGCTTGACAACAAGGCCGAGTGAATGTGCTGCACGGCACAATTCTACTGTTTTCAGCTGTTATCTTGAAAAAAGTTTCTTACAAACTGTTATCAGTAAATATCAGTGAAAGTACACTTTACTGAATGTAGAACCATACCATATTAAGTTGATAGAATCCATATTTAAACAATTGCAAACATTTAGGCTGTAGATAGATATACCAATGACAGATGCGCCCAAATATCATACAGGTCACATCAAGCCTCCAAACAAGGGTAGTTAGATGCGATCTCAAAATGATAAGTTTCTTCTACTTACAACAGTAACTGGATGTGATCTCCCATGCACCAGTTCCCATACATGTGACATTGGCACCAATTCCTATCGGCTCATAACCGGATGTGCATGTGGCTGGGAAGGACTGGCCAACAACTCCTGTGTTCATGGCGGCAATGACCCCAAATAGAGGCTGATCCGTACATTCTATTGGGAGAAATACGGAAATTATGCTACTTCAATAAATTGCCATTTTCTAAATAAGCCAATTTTTCTATACCACTACCAAGTATGTACTATCTAGCAATGTAACTCAGAATAAGAAACATAACTTTGTTTACAAGAGTAAAAACGACCAAGAGGTCAGATGTCCTCTGATAGAATAGATTGTCAAAAGATGGTTATAAGTCGGGCGAGGAAAGCGAGAACGACGAAAGGTGTTATAGGTTACCATTCAACATATTAACATGCATTATTACGTATCAGATTTCAGAACTTAAAGAAAGTGTATTACTCTAGAAATCTTTATTTTAGATTTACAAGACTGCATTGGTTCTTTTTGTTATCTGAGTCAGTTATTGATAAAAAATAAGGGTAATAGAAAAGTCAGTTATCATGTTTGTTTTCAGATTTTTGTTGTCACATCAGTATTTTCTTTCAACTTATTATATAAAACAAATAACATGCACTAATATAACCTACAGTAATGAGCATAGTCATCTGTGGCAAGTTTGATTATTAGATCCAGGACACAGAACTCTCAACCATGTAAATTTGACATATCTAGATTTTTTTCTTCTCCTGAGACATCATCAGCATGCAAAAAGCATTATCTTTATACAGTATTAATCTGACACAAGCTAAATTATATTGTTCTAATATATTTTATGGATAAAGTATTACTAATATTTAAATTATGCATGTTTCCGCAGTCCTCGGGTAGCTATGTTTTCTTGTTTTACACATGTGTCCTGACTCCTGCTTATTTAGCCTGTGAGTCCGTGTTTTGTTCTAGATACTCCAGAACAGGAATATGGGGAGCTATATTGTCTTGTTCACTCCTTTGACATTAAAAGGTATTACACTCATTGACAGAATAGCATCTTAAAACGGATGTTTCACATATATATCATGAGGAAGGACTAAAATATCTAATGAATTATAGTATTGTATATATCAAAAAACGCATATGAATTGATTAATTATGGTAAGAATTATTAAACATATTTGTCTTTACAGTAAGAAAATACCAAAATGTAACAAAACCGTAATTGTAACAAATGATCAATAAATCCAAAGCAAAAGTATGAACAAAAAAAAAAGGTTTTCGTTGAAACCCTGGAGGAGGAATATGGAAATTAAGACCATATGTTCCGCAAGAGTAGGCGTCTTCTACTTAATCGACTACATCCACGTAAATATAGTTCGAATCACAATTATGTTACAATACTGCAATTTAACAGCGAAAGCATGTTCCTCTTTTAGATTTGAAAAGCTTTCGGCCACATGTTCTAGATACTCCAGTTTCAAACGTAATATTTTATTGACTTGTCATGCTTCTAAGTAATGTTTTATTACTGAAATAAAACAAATAGACGTTTCACGCGCTAACCATCGAAGGGAAACCTTCCTTATGACTTCTAAACCTCATGAACATCTGAGCCTGGTTCATCAACTTATTGAATCAGAACCATAATCTTATTCAATGTATATATTTTTCAAGGTAGAATTTTCATTGGAATTTTCATGATAAATTGTAATAGATATTTACCTGTATAGATACATTGCGTTCTGGAAGTAAATTCAAAACATTTCTGACCTGCAGAGCAAATGGACCTGTTGCAGTTTCCTGAAAACTGTTAAGCAGAGAAATACATGAACACGTAATAACAAATAAAATTAAACGTCAACAGAAAAAACATATTTCAATATTGTTAATTTCTGTATGTAAATATGTAACATAATATGTTAGGAATCAGTTAAGAGGATCATGTTAGGTCCTTTATATTCAAAAGGGTTCTTTTTTTTGTTTTTGTTTTTGTAAAATATTACATAGAAATGTTTGGTTTTATATGGTTAAGTTTCCTTTCAACGGTTAAGGTTATTTAAGGGTGTATGTATAGAGCATGCGTGTATGTGTGTATGTGTGTATGTATGTATGTATGTATGTATGTATGTATGTGTGTATGCGTGTATGTGTGAATGTGTGTATGTGTGTATGTATGTATGTGTGTATATGTGCTTGTGTGTATGTGTGTATGCGTGTATGTATGCTGGATATAGAGTATGTTGTTGTGATTGGATCTTTGCGATAGCGGTATCTAAAGCCGAATCTGCTGCGTCACTGCTACCTTATAGACTTGACTTCGCGTAGTTTGGGAGAAAATCCTTCTTATACCATATTTTTACAGAGAGACGTTGCCCAATCATTTGGTGTATCAAATTGTTCAACGCACCCATTTCCCCCAATTTTTTTATGATCTAAGTGAACGATTGACTCCAAACTTATAATGCTATTGCTTATTCCTGCAATGGCATCAACCAAATGAAAAGTGTAAGCAATAATGAAGCATTATTCGTAAAATTCGTTAATAGTCATTGAGCAATCGCCAAATACGTGACCAATCAGATAAATGATTTTGTAGTGTTTATGATGAAACCACTATTAACATATACCTTTCAATATTAAACTGAAGTCACATGATGCATATATTAAGATGATGAATTATGATACGCACCCCTGTCCACGTGTCTATATTGCTGTAGGTATAGCCTGTATGTTGGCTGAGTGATCCCGGCTGACCGCTGTCCGAGTCCGCATTAAGCTCGCAAGTCATGTTAGTGTGATAATTAAAAGACCAGCAACCTGGTCTAGTAAAACACTCATGCGCACACTGCTTGGTCCCCATGTTATCTAGTGTCCTCATTATATAACCCTCCAGACGCTGACCAATGATTGAGGTACCACGGGCAGAGCTACAGTGACTTGTAGCGGTATGGCCTGACCGTGTCAGCAAACAAACCATGGTGAACATTATGTTCCATATGTAGTGTTGGAATCCGTTTCTGTACATTATTTAAAATGTAGATCTCGATGACATCTGAAAATATGAATAGGTATGTATGCAAGTAACAGTGGATATTATGACCATACGTGTTAGATACAGTATGTTTTTGAGTATATGTTTATTTCAATTTGTTTATAGGTTATATTAATTACAGTGCATTTATGGGTTAACGTTAAATTTCAGTGTGTTTATAGGTATAACATTGGGTTAATAACAGTTTGTTCATGAATATTGTTAATTTCCGCTAACTTTGAACTATTTTTATAGAACAAAGTTGCTATTAACAATATCTCCTATAGATAGTGCCAATTTGACTCTTTCATTTTTGAGCTTACAGATATTTAAAAAGTAGACTTTGACAAAGATTGTCCTGGTGTAGGAAATGATCGTTTGAAAAGGGTGTTTTAGAGTATAAGATAAGGGAAAGGCGGCGGAGAGTTGATTTGTTGAAAGTTTGATTGCAAACATTTTGAAAGTTGAGTAAGGGTAATTTCGACTAATGTTCAACAAATAGTATTGTAACACGTATATTTGGAATAGTTTGTTTACCTTGTGAAACGTAAAGCAAATTCCTCCAAATTGTAATCATTATGACATTTTCGTACACCCTTTATTACAAAACAATGTAACAAATTGAATTATGAATGAAACTGAATTTTAGCATTGTACTATAAAGTGTGTTAAAACTTCACCGGAAAAACACCAGTTTGAATACGTTTAGTGACATGATAACATATCCTGTGAAACAAATGCTAATTGGAAGAAATTCTACCAAAAGCTATTGTATTTGATTAATATTTTCAAAATACAGAATAAAATTTAGAGTTAACAGGTTTAAACAAGTTATCTCGTTATTCTACTGTAGTAGTACAACCTGGAAATAAATAGTAAGATGAATACATACCAGAAGGAAGGCTAAATCTGTCTCCTGAACTGTGTCACAGTGCTGTGTACGATGGTAATGAGGGGAAATGTGATGATAAGCTACAGCAAAGGTAATAAGCCCGTGTCTGGTCATGCTTGTTTGTTGTCATACGTCAACGGGGAGGCTCAGATTACCTATTACGGCATCGATTATAACTAGCCAGGCCATTGTTATGCGAAATCAATAATACATGTACAATACAGGTATGGCGTTTGCTTTATTATACTGCTATATGATTGATGAGCAAACACTCCCTTTAGCTTCATCTAAATTACTTTAATAAATGAAATGTCAATATTCGATTTTTGCTATCTTCGTGACAGTAAATTAACATAATTAAACCAGCCAGGAAGTATAAAATGCTGAAATATCTCTTAAAAATAATTATAAGAAATACGAAGTATTAAAGATGTACATATTTAGACATTTAGTTCATCAACGCAGAACGCCATTGCACTCGATGGTCATTTGGTTCATTGAGCAATCACCAGTTGTCCTGGTGGTTAAACCAATGAAAATGCATTCCTAAAGGGGCAACGTTAAACTTTGTTATGGTTATTCTGAACATATATCTTTCAAGTATTTCAACTACAATCAAACGCTACAACGATTGAGATAACACCTTAAAATTACACCTCCTACTATCTTGTCTTACTCTACGTTCCCATATAACTACGGTACCATTTGGAAACCTGAAGATTATGCGTAATGCAAAACTACGAGTTTTTTATGAGGTTTCTGAGTGTCAAACGAATCTTATTTTCAGCTGAAATGTGAATTCAAGATACTGATTGATTCTTTGGAATATTACGCCAGACAATGGGCAAAACGAGATTATGCTGATTGGAATCACTTTTAAAGTAAAATTTATTGGGTCAATCAATCATTAAAAATTAAAAAATAAAAAAAAAAAAAATGAAAGAAGACCAAAATAAAAACAAAACATGAGTCTGTTTGGTATTCGGTTGTCTGCAGTCAAAGTATTAAATAACTTGAGCTTCTCTGGAAACATTGTAACACTTGTTCATGCTTTTAAAAAGAACTAGGCTTGCGTTATAACCAAGGAAAATTGCTACATAATTTCCAATATTTCGAATCTGTATTACAATCATTCCGAATATTCACCAACTGGATTGACACGGACCTGTCTCGTTTGAGTTTCTATTGACTTATTTGGTAACTGTTTTACACCAGTGTGTTTACTTACAGTTATCATACTTAAGTGGAAACAGCTAAATTACCGGAGGACCACGCGAACCACAGACCGGTATATAAGTAGGACATATATTTAACATTGTAAAACAAAACTAAACTAAACAAATAACTGCATCATATCGGAAGAGGCAACTAATGTGGGGCGGGCTCCCTGCATAATCGGGGGTGTTCCGCTTGGTCTTAATTTTGGTCTTAGGGAAACCATAATTGATCTGTTGCACCCTTTGTAAGAATTAGCATCTTTGAATTTCCTTTTGTCATTTTTCTACTCTTTCTGTTGGTGTTCATATGACCTAAGCTTTGCATGTATGTACGGGGAAGGTGAAGAAAACTGTTTGATTTAAATTAAATTATTAACATTTTATGTTGACTTTTCGTTACCATAACCAAAACATGCGAATTATGTTGATGGGTACAACAGGTAGATCTATAGATCTAAGAAATTGTTCACCTAATAATTGTTACAGGTAAAACAGACATGACGATTCGGGGCATGGTAACTATATACCCATGAATAACCAAAAGGTGAGCATACCTGAAAATAAATGCAATCAACCTAAATGAATATTACAGGTAAATCTCAACGTGGCAAATCGTTTCGGTGATAAGTTTGTAACTTTGTAAAAAATATCTATTGTTTCTAATTGAACTATATAATTTTTACTTTTGTAAATGAAATGGCGCGTCCAGTAAAAATAAAAGATCTTAAACTTTTACTGTCTCATATTATGAACGTTAGTTTCTGCTTTAGATCTGCATGAAAACGCTATTGAATATGAACTAATAAGTTAATATACTGTATCCCGGGAAACTTTCGCCGCAGTTTAACTTTCGCCCCTTTCGCCTTCCGATCTGAGGGCGAATTAAACATGACGGCGAAAGTTTGAAAATAAATACGTAAACGACGGCACATGTTTTGTCACTATTTTGTCTACACTGAGGCTTAACTTAGGTACCGTATGTGATACAGTTGGGGTCCAGTGTGTGTAATGCAACATTAGTCATTATGTTTCGTAATAAAGGATTGACAAGATTTTTTTTTATTTTTTTTTTATTTATTATTTCAAAAACATCATTGAGTTACAAATATTTACATGAATGATAAGTGTTCGTTAGAAAGACCGTAATGGGGAATTTCCACTGTTGACGATATAAGCGAATTTACACTGGGCGAATAAGGACTCTGCCGGTGTAGGGCGAAAGTTTAACTGCGAGAAGTTTCCCGGTATACAGTATTTGTTTCAATATTTTTTAGCATTATAATAAGACTTGTCATCATTTTCTTTCGTTGTGGTATGGGCTTCACATAAGAATAAACAAACGCGTTCTGAGCCGTTTTGTTTACGAAAAATCAGTCCTGTTAAATGCATGAATAACTTGACTATTTCCCTCGTGGTTTTAGCAATAGCTTAAGGAAAGTCTGTTCAATACTTTATATTCTTGTAGACCTTTGTAGTCGTTTTATTGTATGTTCAACAATTAGGAGTATACCATATCGGAATTTTTATCATTGATGCTATTTTATTTTTTAATGACTCCTCCATATAGTCTTGTTCCAACAACAAATATAAAGCATCATTCCAGAATACATGTTTTTACATTTCTTTGACCTTAATTAATATAATATTCTGTTGATTTTGCTATTACAACCTCAAGATAGGGGATGATCATTTTTGTCCCCCGTCATTCCAATACTATATTGCAATCACAGTATCAACAAATGTTATCTATTTTAATCGACATTTGCATATGACTTCTCACGTTGAGAGTTGACCATGACGTCATATATAATTGTTCCCGTGTCGTCATAGTATTGTTTCTTTTCATGTAATACCTGCCATACCATATAGGGTGAAAGGGGGAATCATCTGTGAATGATGAGACATATTATTTGGACCAGCCTTTAATCAAAATATTAAGCTTAGCAATTGCCTGCTATCTCCGTATCTATGCAAGAAAGACTTTCGAATACCTCATTTTAACGTTAGATATATTTTTCAAACCAAATTCTGTAATACATATGTATACATATGATGATTTTTTTTATTACAACCTCCTTTTTTTCCGTTTACTCATTCCACAGGTAGTTCTATAGTTGTTTATTCAATTATGTTTTCCTTGTTTAATGATGTTGTTAATCAGGCCGAAGAGAGTTTGTCAAAAGTTTGAATATGAAATATCATACACATAAATGATATTTACAATCAGTTTTAACACCACAACTATGTTCTTGAGAATACTGGTCAGAATAAAAGTGTTGGCATCAACATCGAATGCGTGGTGTTCACATGGTCGGCTATGGAGTTTATATGGGCAATTATTTTTAATAATGAAACATACACCCCTCAACAATGTGTCGAAATAGAACTATTTGGAAGGCAAAGCAGAAATCGATTTGGATGCTTCACGTAGTCATGACATATTCGAAACCAACGTTGTTAATAGTTTTAAAAAAATCGATAACGGACTATATGAGATGTATTTGTTACAATATATTATAATTCTCGGAGGTATAATACGTTTATGGATTTCACACAAATATAGTTGTCATTAAATAAATGTAATTTCGACCTAGCATTATGGTAAACCGATAATTAGCTCACCTGTAAAAGAAGATTACAATATTACCATAATTAGATATCGAAAATATGCCAAGCCTTATTAAAGTAATTAGCACCTCTGTAGATGCCATCTTTAGACAAGGCAATAGGCAAACATCGAGCGTACAGCACTAAATTATGAATATGCCTCATCTTCCAAGCGAAACGAGATGACATTATTTCAGGAAGATACTATCAACAGCTAGGAATTGCTTAACATGCATGAAGTTATTTTTAAATGTTATGAGATTCGGAAAAACAAGGTTATCTGGATTGGCGATAGAGGTTAAGAGTTTGTTTTAATATGTCAATGCTTGTAAGCATAACTTAAAAAAGGAAAACTCCCTGTGTATTTTCCCAAAATAAGGTTATTAGAAATTCTCTATGCTTGAAAGATTAAAATGCAGACGTAAAACGATGAAAATATTGAAATTTCTCTTTGAGTTTGCAAGCATTTCGAAATAGTTCGGCGTTAAAAAGGCTATGAGAATTTTAACAGTCTTCTTAGATTCTGTGGGGAATTTTCATTGTCTTGTACAGCTAGTCATCTTTACCACAAAGTGGAAGTTTACCTTCCCGAAACCCAAGCTTCTCATTGTCATTGTACGATATTTAAGAACAAATCACAGGAAGTCTGTCTGTGCGTGCCATGATCGTGACAGATGATTAAGAGCAACAATTATATCAATATGTTGACGAGCTGTTTAAATAAGTGCCAGGTATGTGTAGGTCAAAATATTGTACTCGAACAGATATCGAATAGGTAGCCAATGTTATGAATAGGAAAACCGGTTTGATGTTAAAATATGCCTGATCTGGTTCTTCCTCCATGTCCAGTGAGCTATCGAAGAGTACCCACCTGCTTTTACAGCCGGACTACTTTTAGCGCGACCATTTGCTGGACGCTTGGTGGCAGGGTGCATGCATTAGAAACATGGTACTTTGGTTGAGTTGAAGTTGTCACGTGTTGGTATGGAAGTGAGGTAACCATTATTATCATACTGTTGGTACATTTCTAGATAAAACGCTATGGTATATTTGATATCAGAACTTAAGAATCAGATAGTTCTCAAAAGTGATGTTATTGCGAGGACATTACATTTTCGGATTCACTATTAAGACGTCAGAGTTTATCATTAAATACACTAAATGGTTCAAGTAAAGATTTGTACTTGGTCAATGTATCATGTCTAGAATTGAACAAATACACAGCTTAATCT